CGACTACGACTACTACTACTACTGCTACTACTACTACTATGACTACAACTACTACTACTATCATTACGGCGACTACTACTACAATAACTACTACTACCATAACTACTACTACTACTACTACTACCACTACTACTACTACTACTACTACTACTACTACTACTACTACTACTACTACTACTACTACTACTACTACTACTACTACTACTACTACTACTACTACTACTACTACTACTACTACTACTACTACTACTACTACTACTACTACTACTACTACTACTACTACTACTACTACTACTACTACTACTACTACTACTACTACTACTACTACTACTACTACTACTACTACTACTGTTGCTGCTGCTGCTGCTACTACTACTGGGGCAATATCCTGCTACGTCTTCGACCCTACCCCCTTGAGGCAATATCCTACTTACCTGCCACGCGCATTGATGCAATCACCATGCGTGTATATATATATATATATATATAATATGTTTTACGTATGGACAGGGGGATAAACAAGGGTGGGGCACGAGAGAAATTAGCGGGGGGACCAAGAGCAGAAAAACACATGGTAGAACCAGACGGGCAGATCGGGCGGGCAGACCCTAACGGGCGAGTCGGGAAGACGGGCCCAGGCGACCAGGTCGAGCAGGCGGGTTGCTGAAGCGTGCGTCCTGCATGAATCGCGAAGAAGCGCAATTCTTTTGTAAATCGTCAGGAAAAACCAGAGCGCGACCGTGATTCCTGACTGTCGAGGTCGCTGTGCTTTGACACAATTGCGAGGAAGCCCCACGCGAGAGCGCGATTCGTGCATAAATTGTGAGGAAGTCCTGCCGAAAGCGCGATGATGTAATAACGTGTAAGAAAACAACAATGATTACTCGCCAAGAGCGCAAGTTCAACAACCACAACAACGACAACGACAACGACAACAACAACAACAACAACAACAACGACCAACAACAACACCCACAACACCAACAACAACAACGCCCACAACAGCAGCAGCAACAACAACCATAAGAACAACAACAACAGTCATCATTTTAAGACTGGTCGCTCTGCTCTGCTCGCGTGCCAATCAACACGTACATCCAAAAACCCCCGATAAACGCCCTCTTCGGCTTCGATCGTGCCACTTTGGGGTAATTTTTCCTACCTGCCACGCGCAAGTAGCGCAGCACTTCTCACACAAGGAAAAAAGAAACGGACGGAAGGAAAGGACACGGGGGAGGGAGGAAGATGGAGCACGAGGGAAATGAGGAGGGGGGCTCGGAGCAAAAAACACGTGGCAGAACCAGACGGGCAGATCGGGCAGGTAGACCCTGGCGAACAGGTCGGAAAGGCGGGCCCACGCGGCCAGGTCGAGCAGACGGGGGGGTTCTGAAGCGGGTTTCCTGCATTAATCGCGAGGAAATCTCAAGCGATAGTGCGATTCCAAAGAAAATCGTAAGGAAATTCACAGCGAGAGCATGATTCCTGAGTGTCGAGGGCGCGGCGTCTGGACAAACTGCGAATAAATCCCACGCGATAGCGCGGTTTCTGCATAACTTGTGAGGAAGTCCCGCGCGAGAACGCAATATTTAATACATTGTGAGGAAGGATTAGGCGGGAGCCGTTGTTATTGTCACTCGGGGGCCAGGGGCGCAGTTTGACGCTCAAGATTTTCTGTAATAAAACTGGGTGCGAGCCCCGGGAAGGGCACTTCAATTGAACAAATGCAATGTGCACCGGGCGGAGGGATCAACAATACTTCTTATTCTGAAATGCAAATTCAAGCACTACAACTACCACTACTACTTCTACTTCTTCTTCTTCTACTACTACTACTACTACTACTACTACTACTACTACTACTGCTACTACTGCTACTACGACTACTACTACTACAACTACTACTACTACCACTACTACTACTACTACTACTACTACTACTACTACTACTACTACTACGACTACTACTACTACTACTACTACTACTACTACTACTACTACTGCTACTGCTACTGCTACTGCTACTGCTACAACTACTACTAAACTACTACTACTAGTACCAGTACCAGTACTAGTACTAGTACTAGTACTAGTACTAGTACTACTACTACTACTACTACTACTACTACTACTACTACTACTACTACTAGTACTACTTCTACTACTACTACTACTACTACTACTACTACTACTACTACTACTACTACTACTACTACTACTACTACTACTACTACTACTACGACTACTACTACTACTACTACTACTACTACTACTACTACGACTACTACTACTACTACTACTACTACTACTACTACTACTACTACTACTACTACTACTACTTCTACTTCTACTACTACCACAACAACGACGACAACGACAACGACAAACACAACGACAACGACAACAACAACGACAACGACAACCACAACCACAACAACAACAACAAAAACAACAACAACAAACATTTCAATACTGTTCGTTCCTATCTGCTCGCGTGACAGTCAACAAGTATATCCCAAACCCTCGGTACACGCCCTCTTCGTCTTCGAGCGTACCCCTGTGGGGTACAGTTTTCTTACCTGCCACGCGCATTTAGCGCAGCACCTTCACACAAGGGAAAAAAAAACGGACGGAAGAGGGAGGGAGAATGATGGAGCACGAAAGAAATTAGGAGGGGGGGGCAAGAGCAGAAAACACGTGGAAGAACCAAACGGGCAAATCGGGCAGGTAGAACCATAGCGGGCGGGTCGGAAAGGCGGGCCCAGGCGGCCAGGTCGAGCAGGCGGGTTGCTGAAGCGTGCATCCTGCATGAATCGCGGGAAAATCTCGAGCGAAAATGCGATTCCGAAGTACATAATTCGAAAAGCCAAGGCGACGGTTTGTTTCCTGACGGTCGAGACGCGACGTCTGAATAAATTGCGATAAAGTTCCACGTCAGAGCGCGATTCGTGCACACACTGTAACGAAACCCCGCGCGAGAACGCGGTTTCGGAATAAATTGTGAGGAGGTATCAGACGGAATCCGTTGTTGTTGTAGCTGGGGGGCCAAGGGCCAAGTTTGAGCAGGAAGCCTTTCCTTGATAAGAGACCAAGTGCGGGCCCCGAGGGGGGCACTTCAATTAAAAAACATAATGTGCATCGGCGAAAGGATCTAGCATCATTATTCTTCAAAAATCAAAAATAAAAAAGGGCCGCTGGGCGCCGCACGGATCTGGTTCTGGCCCAGCGAACCGGAGGCGGGGGCCGCCCCTGTTTCCGCGCGGCCGGCGCCGCCACCCTCCTTCCGCCCGCGCTCCACCAGGCAATTGAACACCTCCCACATGCGCGCCGCCTCGCTGGTCGGCGGGGGGGTTTGGGGGAGAAGGTGGACCAGGAGGAGAGAAGGAGGAGAGGCAGGACGGACGAGGGAGGGAGCAGGGAGGATTAGGACAAGGACGAGGAACAGGACTCGTGGGCGAACAGGGAGGAAGAGGAAGGAAAACGAAGAGGAGGAGGAGGAAGGAGGAGGGAAGAGGGAGGAGGGAGGACGGAGGAAGGAGGAGGAGAGAGGAGGGAGGAGGGAAAAGGTAATTGAAGTAAAAGGTTCGATATAGAAGCGAACTTGACAATGTACGGCTGCATACCACCAGGTGAAGAAAACGAACATAACACGGGCACGGAAACTGCAGTCTCCGTGCCTCCGAGAAAGAAACGACAGCGGTGGGAAGAGACAAATGAAAGAGGCAAAAGGCAAGACAAGTCAAGGATCTACCGTTCGAGTATGGTGCTCAAACGGGTCTGCTAGTGCCTCGCCCTCTCGAGTGCGCAAATGAAACCCCAATCAGCGAAGCAAAAGGATAAGCTACGCTGATAAGACACTAAGTTTGAACACTCTTTTGACCGGGTCTCTAATCAAAAAATTGCCTTGCGGCAGAGTGTTCGGTTGGAAGACGCAGTCACACTCGCAAGCTCTACTGTCCGGATCCTGCCGCCCCCCGAACATAATTCATGGCGACAGCCGTCTTACTCGCATGCTTCATTGTTCATATGACTCTCGCTCGTCGCGACGGATTCGCGAACATAGCTGCGACATGCGAGCTGCTGCATGTCAACATTCCTGATGGACCTTCTCGCATTCGCGAACACAGTTCGCGATAAGCGCGTCAGTCGCTGCATTGGCGAACCTACTCCGGACATGCGACGCCGAGCGGGTTGCCCAGTAGCGTTGTCGTCGTCCCTTTTGAGGTTGCTGCGGCGGGAGCTCGACGCCGTCTTCTCGCGCCGCTCCGGGGCGTTCGTGCACAAGCTTCCCCTCCACGATGTCAATGATGAGCTCCTGGCCGACACTTCCCTTCGTCATGGGGTCGGGCCCTGATGTCGCGGGCGTCGCACCACGGCGTGTCGAATACCTGTTTGGTGCGCAGCTGGTCTGCTGGACACCGTGGGCGGCCTGCCACGCTACTCTCTGATGGCGGCCGCGCGTGGCCCATGGCCAAGGCGGAGCAGTTGGAAGCGGGGGTGGAAGTTCGGACACAGGATGCCGGGGGCCAGGATACCGAGCTGGTGGAGGCCCGAGGTCAACAGGTGGAAGCGGGGGTGGAAAGTCGGAGGCTGGACGCTGGAGCTCGGAGTGCTGAGCCGGGAGAGTCTGGAGGTCGATCGGCGGAGTCTGAGGCGGCAATCCTTGCGGGCCATCACGGACGCGCGGCTCAGCGCCATCGTTCCACCGGTGCCGGAACCGCCCATCGAACACGCGGTGGCCGTCGGACATGCGAGCTGTCGCGGTCGTGCCGCTCTGCGTCGCGGCGACGCTCGGACCGGGGCCGCCCGCCCACCTCACGGCGGTCGTCGCGTTGCCGGAGCCGGGCGCGCTGGCCGGCGCCGATTTGTCGGCGCCCGCCGCGTTGCTCGGGGCGCCCCTGGGCCTCGTCGGAGCGGGGCCCGCGCGCTGGATGAAGAACGCATGCGCCCAGAATCAACGCCCGAGCGACACCCCTTGCATCGCAAGGATATCCGCCCACATTTCCGCCCCAAGCTGATCATCCAAACGAACTCACGAGAGCTGCGCGGCTGCGTCGCGCCAAGAGCGACGACGCGGAAGACGCGTAGGAGCGCGAAGATAACAGGCGCGACGCCACGAGAAAATCGACAAAACCTAGCTCTGAGACGCAGGCCAGCCTACGAAGGCGCCCCCACAAGCAGACCGGCAGGCACCCTCGAGCGATTCGAAATCAATTTGAGACGCCGCCCACGGCGGGGGGGGGAAATATCGAGTCAACGAAGTCGCCGTCGCACTCGCCGCGCCAGGTGCGCCGCGGCATCGCGTTGCGGTCGGCCTGGCGGGCCAGCGCTGACAATGCGCTGACATGGCCGGCGGAGCCGACCTTCCCGACCGCGCGTCTCGTGCACGAGTTGATTCATTAACTGCTCATTGCGCGCGGAACAGACCTCCGCGCCAGAGAACGGTCAGCGTGACGCAGAGCGCACGTAGAAACCGCTTGAACACGCAAGGCCCCCTCGCCCACGCCCGCCCCCACGACGGCGCGAACTAAGTCGCGCCGAGCAGCGGCTCGTCCAAAGCGCGCTCGCTGCCATTCGAGCCGCACTGGGCACCGGAAATGTTCCACCGAATCACAAAACGTAGTGACGCACCCCGATGCGCAGGCGCGTCGGTGCACTCGCACGCAGCGCGCGCGCCTGCCAGTGGCCCGCCCGTAGAAGATAGTCGGCGCTCAAAGTCGCAGCGCGGAGAGTCGGCGGCCCCGGCCAGCGCGGGCGAAGCAGTTGACGCGCAGTCCGTCTCGCCGCCCATCCAAGGCTGTCTGGGAAGCGCCATCGCGCAAGCCGCGCGCTTAGGCGCCATTCACGCAGTAGCAGTCTCGGGCATGCAGGCGCACGGCCGCCCATCGTTGCGCCCCCTCCTTGAAGCGCTGGGCTGCCTGGCGCGCCAGGGGCCCAATAACGGCACCCCCCAGCGCGACTCGAGAAGCTTGGCCGCGGCTTGCGAAACCACCAGGTTGACGACCACTTTCGGAGAGCGCTGGGCAAATCAACGGAGACAACTTCTGTCAAGGGTCAAGTGGTCGGCCTGGGCCCGCGAATTTTCAAGTTGATGTGCTGCGCGGCCCCTGGGAATGCCTCCAGAGCCGTGCGTTCTCGTGCGTGTGCCCGTAGAATCGCCGCCTGGCATGACGCGCGAAGATGGCAAATCCTCGCTGAAACGCCAAGCTCAGGTCCGTGCTTGATATCTGCTGGCGCGCGCCATCCCAACCCTGGCGCCACCTTACGAACCGCGGCCGCTTCCATGTAAGGGGGGAGGGGGGGCTTCCAGCTGCGCAACAAACAGGAGAACCGGTAACACAAAAATGCGGCACGTCGTCGCTGCAAAGTGAAACCCAAGTTTGCCCCGTTGCCACTCACGTAACGGCTCTGTATATTTCGCCGATGTTTTGTCCCAAGAATTGCTATCCTTTCCTGGCCCGATGCAGAAACCCAGGGGCTTCCCCGTCGTAGGCCATGCGATTTGGATGGAGACGGGGTTGCGCACCGCGGCCTCCTGTAAGTCCGGCACGCTCGCGTCCCATAACGGAAGAACCACCGTCTTGGCCAGGTTCAGCCAAAGGTTGGAGACCGCCTCGAAGATCTTGAAGGTAGCCAACACCTGCTTGCGATCCCAGGCCCAAGAGCGAAGAACCATCGCAGCGTCGTTCGCGAAAGCCCGCGCCGCAGCTGACGGGCGCCGCAGGTCCAGAATGCGCAGCAGGCTGTCAGAGGCAAGAGCAAACAATAGCGAAGACAAGGGGCAACCTCGTCGAATACCTGCTTCCAGGGCCACCTGCTCGCAGCGACGACCCTGTATGAACAGAGCCCCCGATGTGTTGCGCAGACGACTGCGAGCACGCCAATGGCGAGCTGCGGGAAGCCGGTTGCGCGGGCCATCTCCACGAGGTGTTTCCGCGATGCCGAGCGGAAGACCGCCGAGAAGCCGAACAGAACGATCGCCGCATCCTGCTCCTCAACAATGGCCAACACTGCGTGGTGTTCTACATCACAGACGTTGGACAACATGGATATCCCTTGTATGAAGCCTCTCAGCGAGGCTGCAATGCCAGGTCCAACTATTGATTCCCACGGCAGGCTGCAAGCGTTTGCGATGATGTGGTTGTCTGTGCTACGTTCGTGATGGAGAATGGGCGCGTCCCGTCCGGCTGGTAAATATGCTCCCTGGCGGCACTTGTTCTGGCTAGCTTGTTAAAGAGGCAACATGAAAGAAACGCATTGAAATCGTCGTGCGCCGCGCTCGCTGCCCGAAGCCCGCCGCCCAATAGCCGACCAGCTTCCCAAAGATTGCGAACGCCGAGAGAGAGGGCCCAGAAATCGCCAGGCCTGGAACAGCACGCTGTCAGGGCCCAGCCGGGAGTTACGGACAATGCGCAAAATCCCACCAGCCCTCTGGGCTTAGGTGGTATAACGCGTTTTTTCTTCTCTCTTCCACTGAAACCCCTCCCCCCACCCCCTCCCCCGGGCCTGGGCGGGGCGCGCCGCGAGGCGTTAGAGCGTCCAAGATGGCCCAAGATGGCTCCAAGAAGCGTTCAAAGTCGCAAGATGGCCTCCAAGATAGCCCATGTTACTTCAAGATGGGTCAAGATAGCCTCCGACCTACCCCCAAGAGGCCCCAAGACAGCCCCAAGACGGATACTAGTGCCCTTCGAGCCCTCCACGGCGCTCTCCAAGATGCCAAAACCCATCAAAAGCCTAGGGAAATTCAATGCGTTTGGCATTCTCGCCTTTTCTGGCCCAAAAGGACCCCAAGAGGGGCCCAAGAAGGCCGAAGACGGCCCCAAGATCGCCCAAGAGGCGCCCAAGAGCGCTCCAAGACGGCCCCAAGACGCCGTTTGAGAGCCTCCGATGGGGGGATCCTAATTAAGGAACCTCTTCTTTTTGAAACATGGGGCCCAAGATGGCCCCAAGAGGCCCCCCAGCCTCTCCCAAAGACCCTCCACCCCGCCCTTTTTGGCCCAAGATGGCTCCAAGAGAGCCCTAGATAGCCCGAGATGGCCTTCAAAATGGCCTAGGATAGCCAAGCATGGCTCAAGATAGCCTCCGACAGACCTCCAAGAAACCTCAAGACAGCCTCAAGATGGCCCGAGATAGCCGAGCATGGCTCAAGATAGCCTCCGACAGCCAATAGCCGAGCATGGCTCAAGATAGCCTCCAAAGAGGCCTCAAGAAAACTGGCAATCAATTCTGGATGGGCTGGTGGCGATACTTTTTGGGGGGTCGCGGCCGCGAACGAACGCGCAGGCGGCAAAAGAAGTAATCCGGGCCGACGGGCTAACCTAATTAGCTGCT